AAATGGCAAGATTTCATTTTTTTTGATGGCTGCATAATATTCCATTGTGTATATATGCCACATCTTCTTTATCCATTCATCTGTTGATGGACATCTAGGCTCTTTCCATAGTTTGGCTATTGTGGACATTGCTGCTATAAATATTGGGGTGCAGGTGCCCCTTTGGATCACTACATTTGTATCTTTGGGGTAAAGACCCAGTAGTGTAATTGCTGGGTCATAGGGTAGCTCTATTTTCAACTTTCTGAGAACCTCCATACTGTTTTCTAGAGTGGCTGCACCAGCTAGGCAAAGGCTTCTTAAATGTGACATCAAAAGCACAAGTGAAAAGAAAAAAAAATAAATTAGACTTCATCAAAATTAAAACCTTTTGCTTTTCAAAGGACACCATCAGGAAAGTGAAAAGAAAATCCAAAGAATGGGAGAAACTACTTGCTAATCATATATCTGATCAACATAGGTAACCATCAGAGAAACGCCAAATACAATGAGATACCACTTTATACCACTAGGATTGCCAAAAAGACAGTAATAAGGGTTGGGGAGGATATGCAGAAATTGGAACCCTCATACACTGCAGATGGAAATGTAAATGGTGCACCCACTTTAGAAAACAGTTTGGCAGTTCCTCAAAAAAGTTAAACATAGAGTTACCATATGACCCAGCAATTCCACTCCTTGGCATATTCCCAAGAGAAATGAAAACACATGTCTACACAAAAATTTGTATATAAATGTTCATAGCATCATTATTCATAATAGCCCAAAAGTGGAAACAACCCAAATGCTCATCGACTGATGAATGAATAAACAAAATGTGGTATATCCACACAATGGAATACCATTTGGTTATAAAAAGAAATAAAGTACCGATATGTGTTACAATATGGATGAACCCTGAAAACATTATGTTAAGGGAAAGAAACCAGTCATATACCACATATTGTATGATTCCATTTATATGAAATGTTCAGATTAGGGAAATCTATATATAAAGTAGATGAGCGGTTGCCTAGGATTTGGGATTAGGGGTGGGGGTTCAGCTGTTGGGGAAAAAAGGGCAATGACTGCTAATGAGTACGGGGTTTCTTTTTGGGGTGATAAACATGTTCTAAAAGTGTGCTGATGGCTGCACAACTCTGGCTATACTAAAACCTGCTCTATTTTATGCTTTAAATGGAGTTAATGGTATGTGAATTACCTCTCAATAAAGCTGCTTAAAAAGATTTCCACAAATACATGGGGTGCCTGGGTGGCTCAGTCAGTTAAGTGTCCAACTTTTGAGCCCAGCTCAGGTCTTGATCTCAGGGTTGGGAGTTCAAGCCCCATGTTGGGCTCCACTCTGGGCGTGGAGCCTACTTGAAAAAAAAATTTTTTTTTAAATTTCCACAAATACGAGAGAAATATACTTATTAACAGACTGTTTAAAAAAGAAAATATTTCCTTCCTTTGCAAGGGGGGCAAGGCTTTTTTCATTTATAGATACTCAGAGAACTGGCAAAACTAAATACAGAGCATAAGACAAAGAACACAAAGGATTGTATTAATAGTCAAAAAATGTAATAAATCAACAGTGTTGGATATGACATAACTGAATTTTCAACTTTATAGTTGAGGGTGGCAAGTGCTTGATTAAACCATTGTCTTGTGATGTTAAGGTATACATACCGGTTTCCCAAGTATTAGAATCTTCAAGAAAAACAGGAACAAAAAAAGACAAAGAGACACCAGGCTCCCAGCCATTTGCCACTTGACAGAGATCAGATAATCAAGGCTTAACCACCCGCTTTTCTTCCACCAATGGAAACAACAACAACAACAAAAAAAAAACAAGCTGCTGTGGAGCCAGAACTGTTCAGAAACCAGGTTTAGCATGCAAGAGTCACAAATCTTTTTTTTTTCTTTTTTTAAAGATTTTATTTATTTATTTGAGAGAGAGAGAGAATGAGAGACAGAGAGCATGAGAGGGAGGAGGATCAGAGGGAGAAGCAGACTCCCCGCCGAGCAGGGAGCCCGATGCGGGACTCGATCCTGGGACTCCAGGATCATGACCTGAGCCGAAGGCAGTCGCTTAACCAACTGAGCCACCCAGGTGCCCAAGAGTCACAAATCTTAATGGCCACCCAAAGAGGCCCCCCAGAGGGGCTGAGGGAAGACAATTCAGAATTCAAGGTGTCCAGAAGAGATGCCACATATAGGCTCCAACAGGGGAACAAAGTGGGCCGATCTCGATGGAGATTCCACAAGTAACTCTCAAGGCATAATTCAGAGACATTTCTCACAGCAGATATTTACTCATATATGCAGGAGACCAAATCAAGCACAGACCATCATAGAACAAAGGTAGGGTAGGGTGTATCAAGGTAAACACCACACAGGAGGTGATACCGTGGGACTTCCCTTTTGCCTTTTGGCAAGCTGACTGCCTGAAAACTACCAAGGAAGATCTAGTTTACACCACAGGAGCAGAAGGGAACTGCAGTGATTTACAGATTTTCAGAGACACCTTGTGATTTCGGCTATGGAGTGCATACGGTGTGCTCTCCTTCTCTGTAATGGCCACTGGTACGCTTCCCTGGGCATGTCCATAGTGAGCCAGGACTGAATCTCTCAATTATTATTATTTTTAAAGATTTTATTTATTTATTTGATAGACAGAGTGAGAGAGCACAAACAGGGGGAGCAGCAGGAGAGGGAGAAGCTGGCTTCCTGCTGAGCTGGGAGCCCTACGTGGGCTTGATCCCAGGACCCCGAGATCATGACCTGAGTTGAAGGCAGACCTTGTTAACCAACTGAGCCACCCAGGCGCCCCAGGACTGGATCTCTCAATTCCTTACCACGAATCCAGTTGTCTAAGCTAAAAACCTAGCACCCCCAATTTTCTGTTTCACTCCCTCTAATGTGGGAAACAAAGGCAGAAGGAAACATAGGAAATGCCCTTATAACCTGCAGCCCATTGACAAATACTTGAGGCAGGCAGAGTATAATGTTCCTCCAGGAAGCTCCTGACCGTCTTAATGTTAAATCCTTACTACAAGGGAAAACAACCTTAGCTTGACAATAGCAAGGCAGGCAGTACCCCAAGTCTTCTTTAGCATATCAAAGTCCTTTTGAAAACCTCCCTTTTTCCTTACCTCGCCCAGCTCCCAAGTATATAATCATAATCAGCCATTCCTCACAACCCCAGTGCATCTCTTTCTGCCCACGTCCTGTCCCCGTGCTTTAATAAAATCACCTCTTTGCACCAAAGATGTCTCAAGAATTCTTTCTTGGCCGTGGGCTCTGGACCTCACCAACATTCCAAAACTATATCATCTTCCCAAGTCCCACCAATTCTCCTTCCTTAATACCTCTTAAACCCATTTTCCCTTTCCACCCTCATCATCTGTCCTAGTTTAGGTCCTTATAATCTGCAGTCTCTTAACTGGGCATCCCCATCCATCTGCCACACAGATACCAAAATTATAATAAAACACAGATGTTTGACATTCCTCTGCTTAGCAGCCTGCCTAGACTCCATGTTGCCACTAGAATAAAATTCAAATGCCTTATAAAAATGGCAAACAAGGGACGCCTGGGTGGCTCAGCCGGTTAAGTGTCTGCCTTCGACTCAGGTCCCAATCCCAGGGTCCTGGGATTGAATCCCGCTTAGTCGGGCTCCTTGCTCAGCGGGGAGTCTGCTTCTCCCTCTACCTGCCACTTCCCTTGCTTGTGCTCTCTCTCTCTCTGACAAATAAATAAATAAAAATCTCAAAAAAAAAAAAAGGCAAACAAGGCCCTTTGTAGTCTGGTTCCTGTGGACATGGGCAGCTCCATCTCCACCAGCCCTCATCCACCCATCTGCTGGTCCCTGGATGCCATCACCTGAAGTACTCCATCACTTGAGCTACTCCGCATTCCAAAACCTCTCCCTCCACCTGGATGTCTTACTCCTTTTCTGCCAAGGAAAACCTCCACTCAGCCTTCAAGTGTTACCTCTTCTGGGAGACCTGATTTGCCTATCAAAGCAAGTCACTTCCTTATTTGTGTTCCCAAGCTACTTTGTACTTACTTCCATTCCTTTACTTAGCACTTATCACATTGTCTTTAATTACTTGGCTGCTTTCTCACACCCTGAGGCCAGTGGGCAGTGGCTGTCTTCTCTTTGTGTCCTCCAGCACATATCTTCTGCTTTGGCAGGAAAAAGCCTCTCAGTATGTACTGGGAAAATGAATGGGTCATCTGTCACAGAGACACAGATCAGCCCGTGTTTTTGCAATGCCTTGCATCAGCACCGCAGGTGATAAAGACAGCTTACAGTCTGGTGGAGGTTAAGAAAAGTAAATATGAATAAAACAAGCCATACAGCAATCCAGAAGCCATATGAGAATCAAACCAAATCTTAGGGTGTCAGGGGCGCCTGGGTGGCTCAGTCGTTAAGCGTCTGCCTTCGGCTCAGGTCGTGATCCCAGGGTCCTGGGATCGAGCCCCGCATCAGGGAGCCTGCTTCTCCTTCTCCCACTCCCCCTGCTTGTGTTCCCTCTCTGGCTGTGTCTCTCTCTGTCAAATAAATAAATTAAATCTTAAAAAAAAAAAGAAAATCTTAGGGTGTCAGAGGGCGGAAAATGATTCTCAGAGACACTTCTGCTGAAGATTTCTAGTTAGAGGGTGGGCTCAGCTGATGGTGGGGGCGGGGGCAAAGAAGCTGTTTACAATTTGATGCTAGGACAGATTGACTGATTGACATCACTTTCAATGGCAAACTCTGAAATAACTCAGGGGTAGTAGGGATTTTATCAAAGGGTTTCGCTCTCTGGGAATTCCCTTATCTTCCAAAGCCAGCAGAACTGGAGTGCTTCCTTTTGCTGTCAAGGTGACTTTCCTCTTACAGATTTGTGACTCCTGAGCCGGTTCACAATGCAGAGGGAGCTTCCCTGTTGTTACCTGCCACTCCTCGATTTGGGCCTTGGTAGTGGCCACACCTGGAACTTCTGGACCACTGGTTCCCTTGATCTGATATGGCCTTTGTCACACTGGCCTGAGCAGAGGGGAAGCAAAGAAAGCTGCACTTCCAATGGTTGCCCATCCTTTCGTACTCCTGCAATCCACCATCACTAGACTGTCGGGCTGAGACACTTCAAGGTTTGGTAGCAAGAGACTGAATATACCAATGGACAATGGCCAGACCACATACACCAAGAGACCTCTAACCTACACCCTGCAGCAACCAGCCCAGGGAGCTGATCTATTCTCTATGTCAGACTTGCAGAAAGTCAGACCTCTCTCTCCACCAACCAGTCCAGGAAATCAAGCAAGAACCCCTGGAACAATCAGACCCAAAGGGTCAGCACATTATTAATAACTGACAGCCTCCCTAATTCTTGCCCCTCATTTTTCCAGAGAAAGCAAATATACATTCCTGACCAGTCACATAAAATACCCCACTTCTAGTTAGCCAGCCTACAGCTCACACAAGCCAAGAGCCTCCAACTGGGGCCGGCCACAGCCCTCCCCTCATTCCATGATAAAACTTTCCCACGCCTCTGCCTGCTTCTGGGTCTCTGCCAAAACGTGTGATGGTGGCTGACTCCTTTGCTATAGCAAGCCCTGAATAAATGATCTCATTTGGTTGGTCTTTGTTGATTTTCACAGCAGAAAAAGTGTCTAAAAACTAGATGCTAACTATTGTTCCTAAAATCAAAAGAGGAAAACGAGGGGCACCTAGGTGGCTCAGTCGGTTAAGCATCTGCCTTTAGCTCGGGTCATGATCTCAGGGTCCTGAGATCGAGCCCCACGTCTGGCTCCCTGTTCAGTGGGGTGTCTGCTTCTCCCTTTTTGTGCCCCCCCCACCCATGCTCATTCTCTCTCTCTCTCTCTCTCAAATAAATAAATAAAAATATTTTTTAAAAATAAAAATAAGTAAATTTTAAAAAGGGGGAAAATGTTAAATGCTGTATAAGAGTCCTCTCATGGGCATAGCGAGCTCTAGCCTCACTTTCGGTTTCTCAAATTGAACCCTCCTCTTCGGTTCTGTAGGCCATCCAGGGAAGCATACACAGACTGGTGTTGCTCTGGAATCTGTACCTTTATCCTGAACATCACAGTGGAACACAGTAAACCACAGCAATCCCTTTCCCTGGGGGTGAGTTTAGAATCTAGTCACCAAAGAGCTCCAATAGAGGAGCCCAGGGTGGGCATTACTCCCGGTCTCTCAGACCCTGCGAGCTCTCCTCCCCAGGGCCAGGTGACATCATGGTGCCTCCTTTCCCCTGGGATCCTCCAGCCCCCCTGTGGGTAACTCTTGGCCAGAAGCCCACATATGCAGCTTGCAGGATAAACACTGCTCAGAGACAGTCCAGTGGGGAATCAATGTCAACAAAGAACACTTTCCTACAGCAGTATGCATGGAAATAACATGTTTCCTTCTACCTTACTATGCAGAGAAGTTTTACTCCCACTTTTCTCTTCTTCCACTATCCAGCCCTGCTCCAGGTGGTCCCACCCATGATGGAGTCCTTGCTGGCTTGCTTCTGGACAGCTGAGCCCCTCACTCTGGACACCCTCGCTGACCACATGGTGAATTAGGAGGAGCCTGCGAAGTTGTTTTTCTTTTCCAGTGAGTTCATGTTCTTAGGCCCAGCGGGGTCTTCCCACCAGGCCAGATTAAGAGGAAAGGAAGATGGTTAAATTTGCTCTCCCAGTATCCGGAGCAAGCCCAGGGGGTGGGGCAGGAGGAAGACTGAGGGGTTTTTCTCATCTAATGTGTGTATGAAGGTATTTTGAACTATTTAAATATTCCTGCTTTGAAAATGTTCTTAAATAGTATCTGTCCTTTTGTGGCTGGCTTATGTCACTCAGCATGATGTCCTCAAGGTTCATCCATGTTGTAGCGTGTGTCAGAAGCTCCTTCCTTTTCAAGGCTGAGTAGTATTCCATTTATGCACACATCACACTCTGCTTATCCATTCACTTATCAGTGGACACTTGAGGTGTTTCTACCTTTTGGATACTGTGCATAATGATGCTCTGAAATATGGATGTTGCTTTTCTCTATTCCCTTGTTCTCGACTCTGCTCTGGCCAGAGCTACTGATAATACCCCAAGTAGTGTTATAAGATGAAATTAATCAATGCTCAGTTTTTAAATTGAATTACTTTACTTCTGAAATCCACTTTGAAAGGAAGGTCTGCGGACAACAGAGTTTATGCCCCCAAGTTTATGCCAAAGCAACAGATTCTGATAGAAAACAGAACAGAGCTTCTTGGTTCTGGCTGTACTGGGGAGATTCGAAGAAGTACCCAATCCTACACCTCTGAGAGCCTGAAATAATTGATCTGGGCCTGCTGGAATCTCCTGAGAGCTTTTAAGCAGCACCAATGCCCGGGCTGCACCCGAGACCCATTAAATTAGAACTCCTGGAGGTGGGGCCCAGACACTGGTGTATTTCAAAGGTTCCCCAGCTAAGTTTCCTGCTCACTGGGACTGCCAACCACTGGCAGAGCCCACAGCTCCACCCCCAGAGGGACTAAAGATGGGCCACCTGAACTGGGATGGAGTAGGGAGAGGGCTGGGGCATAAGGTCATATAAAGGGTGGGGACCTTGGTGGAATCCAGGTGGAGGGGAACCATCCCCTGAACCTTTCACATCTCTATTGATGGTCCTTTCTTTAAACTCTCCTCAGTTGCCTTGTTTGAGTGAGTCACCTTTTCCTGCCAGATCCTGACTTATATAGTATCCTCATCTAGATAGGGTTGCTGGGTTAAGTACCGGCTGCAAAAATCAGAGATGGTCAGTTTGCCATGAGCAGATGCTATAAGGCTACATCTGAACAAGACCTTTTTGAGACTGGCTTATGTCACTTAGCATGATGTCCTTAAGGCTCATCCTCATAATAGCAAGTGACAAAATTTTCTTTACTTTTTTTTTTTTAAGATTTTATTTATTTATTTGAGAGGGAGAGAGAGCATGAGTGGGGGGGGGGGCAGAGGGAGAAGGAGGCCCTCCACTGAGCAGGGAGTCTGACATGGGGCTCCATCCCAGGACCCCAGGATCATGACTGGAGCTGAAGGCAGACGCTCAACCGACTGAGCCACACAGGTACCCCTGTATTCACATATTTTAAATGTGAAATTTAAATTCAATGAAATGAAAAAAAAATCTTTGTGCATATCCATTAAGTTTTGACCAACGTATAACACCAAATCACCCCCAAATGTTCCAGTATTCCTTCTCAGCAAATCCTCACCCTTCCTCCCAGAGGCAACCGCCATTCTTCTGATTTTCTGCCATAGATTAAATTTGCTTTTTCCAGAACTTCATTTAAACCCAATAATCTTTAAGGGTTTTCTTTCATTAGATGTGTGGCAGTCTGGAAAGCAAAAAAATGCAAAATGCTAAATGAGAACACTCTGTTAATTGATTATCAATCAGAAATTCAATTGGAAAGGAAAGACACAGGGGCTCCTAATTCTAGATTTAATTTAAATCAATAGGAAATCTTACTAGGTCATCCAAGTTCAATTTAAACACAACTTTTTGGCAAAATCTTCTTTAAGAATGTTAGTTACCTCTTCACATATCAATTCGATGACTCACATAATTATCCAGAGACAGTAATTTTTAAACTGTGCTCCTTGGAGCCCCTAGGACTTCCAAATTTAAATCACATCTTTGGAGTGGCCCAAGGGAATCTTCAGAAACCTAGGATGGGGTTTGAAGCTAAAAAAGTTTGAAAGCCATTCTCCTAAATCATTGAATTTTAATAATGCAGAAGAACTTAAAAATTATATCATCACATGCTTTTACTATTCAGATAAGGAAAATGAGAGCCAGGGGCATTAAGTACCCAAAGTCACCAAGCTTTTATAGGGCAGAGCCAAACTCAGAACCGGGGGTGGGGGGTGAGGGGTGGGGGGCCCTTATTGTTGCCCAGTGCCCATTCACATGGACTCTATCTTTAGTTGGGTCTGCAGGTCTAAAGGAGAAAAGGATGAAAGTCTGCCTGACCACCATCATCACTTATTTAAAGCTAATAATTCTGATAATTCACAACAGTAGTGCATGTGATGTTGATCAACAGTAGAGAACCCCATGATTTGAGGGACCTTCTGAGGGGTTCCCAGCAATGATTTTGAACCTTCTCTTTCAGAATACGTCATTTGCAGAAGCTGATGAAAGCTCTTGATCTTCTCCCCGGGGGGGGGGCGGGTAGAAACACATTTTCAGACAAATTGCATTTTGCCTAATATTTGGGGGGTTCTGTAGATTCCTTGAAGTCCACCCCTGAACCTGAGATTCCGTGCCTGTGTTCTACAATATATCTAATCCCACAGACATCCTGCATGGGACTTTTCATTTGACTTTTTGACAGAAGACGCAGAAAACCAACACTTTTTCGTTTTTGACGTACATCTCTTTATTTTAAACTTATTTTGTCTAATGAACGGAGATGTAAGACAATGATCACAATCCTCTAAGTTATGTTCAAAAAGGGACTCACGAGGACAAGTGAGTCAGGTCATCAATATACATGAGCGTCTGGGCAGGAGGGCTTTTTGCTCTCATTAGTACCGCAACGATTGAGAGCCTCTCATCCCAGGCGGGGTGAAACGGACGAACCCAACACATGGCACTTTGTTTTGTTTCGTTTCATTTTTAAAGTAATCTCGATACCTAACGTGGGGCTCAAACTCACAACCCTGAGATCAAGAGTCGCATGCTCTACCTCCTGAGCCAGCCAGGCGCCTCCAGATTGCACTTTTTGATCCCTTACTCTGTGCCCTGCTTTTGATGTTAGATGCCAGTCCACCAACTCCTGACGATGATCTAGTAGATCTACTAAGTATTTCAGGTGCGTGAACATCAGAGGTAATTTCATTATTATAAAGTACTGAAGAAAACATTTTTTTATGATTATAGGAAAATATACATCATCTGAGCTTCTTCATCCCCCATCAGGATATAGGGAGAGCAAGGGGGTGACATTAGCAGTTATAACTCTTGTCCCTACCCGCTAATGCAAGACTTCCGACTTCTTGTAAAGTTCTCTCCAAATATTTCTCCTTCTCCCAGGGAGTGTTTTCAGGGCTGGTCTTGCTGGACAGTGTCCTATACCACTAATTCCACCAGGTGGCAGCACGACATCAGCAGGCACTGCCTTTCGGCTTCACAGTGCCCTCCTCCAGGAGTGTGACAAACCGTCCTTTTCTGCCCCTTGCATTACTACTGAAGAGTTCCCAAAGAGACCAAGTTTTTCTGGTTTGTTTTGTTCTTATTTTTAGACAGTACAGCTAGTTCAGCCCTTGTCTCTCCACAGGAATTGGGCATTAGGCCCCTGAAAGTCAGAGCTGAGCGGTAGCCATGGGGCTATATTCAGAAGCGCCTTGCCCCTCTGATGACAAAGGCTTGGCTGCTGGGTCCTTCTGGTCCCTGGGGTGCTATGAGAGCTTGAGAAGAAGACAAGATGAGTCTTGGATTAGTTCTACCTCTGCCAATTCCTAGCCATGGGATTTTGAGCAGATTAACCTCAAAACCTGTTTCCTCATCAGTAAAATGAGGATGATGATGATGGTACCCACTTCATAGAGCTAATGATGAAATGAGAGTCTAGCACATGGAATTCACTTAATCAATGCCAGTGTTTATTATAACCACATATATTTACAAAAAACATTAACAGTGATTATTTCTGCTGGCAGCATCAGAGACCATTTTAAATTTCTTCTTTGTTTCCCAAATTCTCTTCAATAAGCATGCATTGTTTTTATAATCAGGAAAAAAATGGCAATTAAAATATAATAGACTGTTGATCCCAGTTCCTGATGATTCCTCAGAAACATGCAAATACTTTCTCCACTGCTCAATGAGCTCCGGGCCTAGGTCTTATCTATTTTGGTACCGTTAGCATGAAGTACCTCATTTGGCACCCAGTAGGTAGTCGATACTCATTTCCTGAACAAAAATCTCAATGGTAATTGCTTCAGGTTTTAATTTCTCTGTGTAATGAAACATCTTTTTCTTCTCCATGAATTCCTTTTTCTTACTTAAGTCCAATTTCTAATCCTTTTATCGATTTAATTGAATCCTCCCCAAATTTAGTCCTCTCCAAATTCTCATCAGAATTTCCCTTAGACTGCTGAGTTGGGTTTAGGCAGGCTTTCAGCAAGCCTTTCATCTGAGCTCCACACAACTCATGCCAATAGGTGATATGGATGGGACTGAGTTGAGATCAAATCTTTTTAGTAGCTAAATGAAGAACCAAGGGCAACAGTAACCTGGATTATATAAAGATTATAAAAGGAAACAGACATTTCCAAAGAAATATCATATTTTAACTTGAAACCCATAGTGAAAAGAGTTTAAATAAAAGAGTTTATTTTTACCCATGTCAAAATATAGGGTTATTGATGATTAAGTTTGGCCATTGCTAGGATGCCTGGGTGGCTCAATCGGTTAAGTGTCTGTCTTGGGCTCAGGTCATGATCCCAGAGTCCTGGGACTGATCCCTGCATGGGGCTCCCTGCTCAGCCAGGAGTCTGCTTTTCCCTCTCCCTCTGCCCCTCTCCACCGATCATACTCACGTGCTCTCTCTCTCAAATAAAATCTTTAAAAAAAAGTTTGGCCATTGCTATCATTTGGTTCCTTTGATCTTAACTGAATAAATGAAATGGTCCGGTAATCTCTAGGAAGGACAGGCTCGAGCATGATATTGCACTGGTGTTTCTTCTATAAAGGCAAATGCAAAAAAGATGACATTAGCCCTTGGCGGCTGATGTATTTTAGTTCTTTTCTCTTATTATTGATAAACATAAGACTCTCTCTCTAGGAATTTGAACCTGAAGGGAAGTCCAGAGAGGATTCCAGCTGAGCCACCTGAGGCAGGGCCCCATCTATACAGAGTCTGATACTCAATTCCTCCTTTGATCTTGTGATCTACAATAGATTCCTCTTTGATTAAGATGTTCAAACATTTAGACTCCTAACTAGGTCTTAAAAGGTGCTAGGCCAAGCCTGGGTCCAGGACCAGGAGGAGGCCAGGCTGGCAAGATGTGGGGAGGGTGGTCGTGTTGTTGATGGAGGCACAGGAAACGTGGAGAAAGTGGAAGGAGAAAGAAAAGCTTGGGTGCTTGCCCACGTTGGTCAGCTGGCTTCTGTCCCCTGTAACCCAAGATTTCAGTTCACATGATGCCAAAGCAGGGCTGCGTTCCTCTCAGCCCGTTCCTGAGCCCCTGATCCTGGCAGGAGCGGGGAGAAGCGCTTGCCCTCTCTGCCATGCTGTGGCCTCTCACACGAGCATCTGGCCCCGAAGCAGAAGAGCTCTGCCTTCTGCTACCTGCAACAACTCTCTCCAGACAGCTACAAACCTGGTCCTCCTGAGGACACCTGCAGACACCCTGTCTTTCCACCCTCTCTCTCTGCCCCCAGGCACTGGGACATAAACTTCTTCTCTCATATCATTCAGGCAACAAAAGGAATAAATAAATGAAAATCAAATCATGCAAATCTCCTTGGCAGAGGCCCGCATCTCTGGGTTGCCAAACTTGCTGAGACATGCCTAAGCTGAGAAGTGAAGGTTGATCAAGCTCATGTGTGAACGCTGGATCATCAGGAAAAATTCCGGCTAGCGAGGAGCATTGCTCTGACCCATCCCACACGTCGCTCCCGCAAAGAGCTGGTCCAGGGAAAACTCCACTTGTTCAAAGGTGATTCATCAAAAGGAAAATGCAGAGGATCTCTCCATGCACAGGAATGGGATAGGAAAAGCAAGTGGCAGATGTGAAACGCTTACCAGGAAAATGCTGCCATAGAGCAGACAAAAGCTGTAACCAAACAATTGCCAGGCATTTAAAAGACTTGACGAAGGGACTGCCTCTATGAAGAAAGAGTACAGGGAAAAGATGGGAAGACCTCAGGAGGCGAAATGAGAGCTCAGGAAAAAAGTGTAAAAAAGAAAATAAAGAAAAACAAAACAGCCCAAGGGAGGAAAAACACTGCTGAAAATATTAGGGACACAGAAGACAGGAATGACAAAAATTCAACAAAATAAAATGGAAATAAAAGAGTTTAAAAGAATGAGATAGGCAAAGAAGCCCAGTGACTATTAATATATCAAGCACATGTGATGTACCAGGCACTGTTCTAGGCACTAAGGAATACAGCAGCTCCGTAACCGACATGGGCCCTTATGGCCCTTGAAACAAAACCGTGTTTTGTTTTCAGCTTTCCATACCATCTGCGGTTGATAATGCAAAGGCCACCCAAGAGATGGCCCATTGTCAAGGTATGTCACGGTCTTGTCATGCTCCTGTCATCTGCAGGCATGTGGCATTATCCAGCATTGGAACAGTGTCCTTCAAACTTAACATCCAG